AGCGTGGCGGCGCTTAGGTCTAACTTCGAGCGGATCCGCAAGGGCCACGGCCAGGCCGGGGCGGCCGACGCCGAGAAACCCTTCTACGTGAACGTCGAATTTCACCATGAGCGCGGCCTAGTGAAGGTCAACGACAAAGAGGTGTCGGATCGGATCAGCTCCCTGGGCAGCCAGGCCATGCAGATGGAGCGGAAGAAGTCCCAGCACAGCGCTGGTTCGGGCCTGGGGGATGCCCCCAGGCCCTCTTACAGAGGGCGCGCCTCTGAGAACAGCTGTGGCCTTGACGGCGACTACGAGGACGCAGAGCTGAACCCCCGCTTTCTAAAGGACAACCTGATCAATGCCAATGGCGGCAGCAGGCCCCCTTGGCCGCCCCTGGAGTACCAGCCCTACCAGAGCATCTACGTGGGGGGCATGATGGTGGAAGGGGAGGGCAAGGGCCCACTCCTGCGCAGCCAGAGCACCTCTGAGCAGGAGAAACGCCTTACCTGGCCCCGTCGGTCCTACTCCCCTCGGAGCTTTGAGGACAGTGGAGGCGGCTACACCCCGGACTGCAGCTCCAACGAGAACCTCACCTCCAGCGAGGAGGACTTCTCTTCGGGTCAGTCCAGCCGCGTGTCCCCGAGCCCCACCACCTACCGCATGTTCCGGGACAAGAGCCGCTCGCCCTCGCAGAACTCACAGCAGTCCTTCGACAGCAGCAGCCCCCCGACACCGCAGTGCCAAAAGCGGCACCGGCAGGGCCAGGTCGTGGTGTCAGAGGCCACTATCGTGGGCGTCCGTAAGACGGGGCAGATCTGGCCCAGCGATGGAGACAGCTTGTCCACCAGGCTGCCTCAGGATGGCACCTTCCATGGAGACGCAGGTGGGTACCTTCACCAGCTTGTCTGCACCCTGGCCGGAAACCACTGAGCCAGCAGGAGGAAATAGAAAAGGGGACATTGGAGGTGGAAGGAGAGTAGGGAGATACTTTTTGGAGTGAATTTTCAATATTGTTTTGAACAAGAAGGATTCACGCTGCTCCTTTTCCTGGACAGACTCCATCCCTGCCTTCCTCCTGAATGCAGGTTCCCAGTGTTCAGAATGAGATTGGGTTGGGAGAGGTGGTGTGTGTGATTAGGTAGGTGGCTTGTTCCTTTGGTTCTAGAGTGTGCTGCTTGCTGGTTGTGACCAAGATGCCCTGGGCAGTCATCTTCTTGCCCCTGATCCCTCCACACCAAGCAGTGGGGATGGTATAGAGGGGTCATCTCTGCCATCCAGATTAAATGCTTTTAGCGAGGATTGACCTGTGTCTTGGGCATTCCCCACAACCCCACCGTTCCTGTCCTAAAAGAGTAAGATGACATGTTCGGGGAACTCAAGATGGGCTAGCTGCTCCCAGGCTATAGAAGTGTCAGGTTCCCTTGCTACCCAGCAGCCCAAATGCAAGTCAGAGCAGGTGAATATACAAATTAGAAGGAAGTGAGGTGACAGGTAGTCTGACTCAGTGGGCCACCGAAAATCAGCGGGGTGAAGATTTTATCCAGGCCTGAAGCAGAGCCATCCATACCCGTTCTGATCTGCCCAGCTTGGATAAGAGACTTCACCCATCATTACTCACCCACAGACTCTTCTGTGAATTT